CAAACATGGCTTTGGAAGAGAAAAATCAACTTCATTTACGAAGAGAGCAAAAAATAATTAACCACCTCAATTTATCAAAATGGGTGACTTACTGCAAACTGTGAAAATAATAGCATCAAGACTAAAACCAACTCAGAGATTCCTCAGGGAGATCAACGAAGCTGGAAACTCACCCAAATTTTTCGCATCAACGGAGATAACAGCAACCATTGTTGACAGAGATTTTAATTCCGGTAATCGATCGCGAACAATTTTGGCCATACCAAGAATTCCAAACCAATATTTCTTATTGAATGAAGAACAAACCAAATATATTCCACTGTCACAACAAACATTGAACACAGCAAGAATCATCTCACCAAAAGAGTTAATTTACAGACCGTCAGCACCAATCCAGCTGAGATACGACAATAACTGCGCATTAAGACTATTGCAATTTTTCACCAATATTCAAGAAGGAGATGATCGCCATAATCATCGAAAACGAGAGCTATTTCCTCACAACATCGTCAAGAATAAAAGTGTGGGAAATATATGATGATGAGACCAAATCCAACCAACAAGATTTGATCGGCAGATATATTTTACATTTGAAGCCGGATTGTTTTATAAAATCGACAGCATTCATCATTAAACCGCACAGAATATGTACAATTAACGCTACAGAAATGATCACACCACGCGCCTCAATCACCGAAATCACATTGGATCAAATACGTTGAGGGTACAGCCACATTGACGGTGAAACCAAATTAGATTAAAAGAAAATTGTTTTTAAAACAAGAAGATAATCAACTTGCAGTCTCTATACTCGAAATATTTGTATAATATCGCTAAAATACGAAGTTTATGGTTCAAGTTTTCTGAAAATGGAGAAAAAATAAGGTCTTCAAAACAATCCAAAATTAATAGCCTTGGATGATGAGGAAATTTTTAAATTCAACTCAAGTGCATTTTTCGAACACTTACAAAAGGTGTAAGTTGTGTTTACAATCAACCAGATGCATTCTTTGTTTATTGCATCAATATTAAACAATTTTTTAAAACTTTTTTTCAGGTGCACCACTTATTCATTATGACACCACATCACGTTAGTTGGAATTGTGAGCTACACACGTGGAAAGGGTATGTAGGAGTAATTTTATAAATGTATTGTATTTTAATTAGTTTTTGTTGAAAAATTGATTCAAAGGTCCTACGTAAAAAGCGTCTTACGCTTTTACGAGAAGGCTATTACGGGGTTTATAAAGAAATAGCAAGTCATGTGGACACATATGAAGTGAAACGAGAGAAGGAAGTGTTGGAGAGGAAGAAGGAAATCAGAAGAATTACAAAAATACAAGCCGCGTTAATTTAAAGTGAATTTGAAGCAAAAATTGCGATCCATTGTAAAATTTTGATCATGTGTAACAGTGTTGGTGAAATTTTTGTATGTTTTGTCAGTCACAATGGCATGAATAGTCATTTCTAGAGTAAATTCGGGCGCTGAATCCGATTATGCCTTAAAACGAGTTACCGTCGGTGACAAACCACTGTAGTGAACTCCTTACAGTATCACAGATGTTGCCAACATTTTTATTAAACAGATGTTGCCAACGTCGCACGATCGGTAGTTGACTACACTTTGGGCGATATACGTGTCGTGCTTCGTTGACAACGGCTGAGTTCCATTTAGACTGTTAAGCCATAAACATGTTCTTCTTCACTGTTTCCCTTTTAAATAAATAATCAGTTATATAAAATAATTATGTTTGGACTCCACCGTAGTGGATTTAATATTACAAAATTTGAACCAAGCGCAATTAAATAAATTAAAACATATAAGAACTTATAAAAAAGAAAAGCGCCTAATTTTTCCAATAAAAAAAAGTTGCCGAATAAGAAAAAATTACAAATGCCAAAGAAGAATTCAAGTGAAACCCAAAGTGCCAAAATATTACCAATCATTAAATCATATATTTCAATTTTCCCTATACCACAATTTCTTTAAATTTTTGTAAAAATTTTGTTAAAAAGTGCCATTTTGGGTTGATTGTTAATTTTTGCGTATTTTCAATGACAGATTCAGACTCAGCGCGAAAGATTACCCTAGAGATGATGATGCATACGATTCCAAAAATATCTGCCTCATAGGGTGTAGCAGAAATATGAAAAAATTGAAAAACAAATACGGCGAGGGTAATAACTTCGGCTCTGGGATCCTCTGATAACGAATCAGGCGTTTGTTTTGCGAAGAAAATATAAACTGAGATGTCACGGCTCAACGGCGAAGTATCAAAAATGGGAAAATTTTGGATTTTTGTGATTTTTTTTAAATTTTGCCATATTGGATTATTGGATTAAAACGGGGAGTGTCCTATTTAAACAGTAAATTTTAATATAGTTACTCGTTGCTCAAGTTTCATAACTTATTGCAAGACGCCCGTGTGTGTATTGAATACACGAGAATAGTCTTTTATCCAAAAATGTTTCTAAGGCATGGATTGTCATCGCATGCCCGTTTGAAAAACGTTACCAATTTGAATTTCACTCGGTGCATGAATCAAAGGGTAGGATCTCCAGCCCGTGAAGTCAGCCCGTATGGTATCCAACATTGGACATCTATCTATGAGGTGGGCAGTGGTTTCCCCTTCTCCAATACACAGTCTACAGTCCGGGTCGTCTCTGAGATTTAGATTTCTCATATGAGAATTGACCCTGGCGTGCCCGGTAAGTAAACCAATTACCATCCGGAGGTCTTCCTTGGGCAATTTGGCTAATTCCACCGTGAGTTTTGAACATGTGAATTGAACGAAGTGTTTCGTTTGCTCACATGAGAACGTACCCTGCCAATTTAGGCGGGATCTGTTGCTGAGCCAAGTAGCTAATCGGTTCTTGACTCGTGAATATTCAATTGGTATGTATGGTTCTGGACCCTCTATTGCCTCTTTCAGTATTGCTTATTTTTATGCTTAAATCATCAGAACAGAACCCAAATAACACATTGCAAAAGAAAAAAATCCATACAAAGTTAAAAAATGGTACCTTTACCATGAAGTGACAAATCATCGAATTCATTCAAAAAATCTCAAAAATTCCAATTTTCAAATGATTCATTTCTGAACGTAAATTGAAGGTTATGTGATCCGGAATGATCAATAATTGTCTGAAAATGATGTGAGTAGATAGAACTTGTTCATTTTGTCCATACCGGTTTTTTGATGGGCGTAACCGTTACGCCCAATTAAAAAACCAGTATGGACAAAATGAACAAGATAGGTGAAAAAACATCTGTTCTTTTGGAATGCGAAGAATGACCCTAGTTTTTCGCACGTGATGCGTAGTATTTTAAACGATCACTCACACATTCATTCGTTTCCTCATATGATTCCATAACAGATGTACATTGATAAGTCCTATATATGTATATCGTAAGTCAATATCCTATGAACAAAACGATTGCAAAAAAAAACAAAGAATGAAAACGAACGTTTGTTAGCTGTTATCATCTGCATTCTTTTCGATTCATTCACGCACCTCTTTTAACTAGCCGACTTCTTTGCACAGATGCAATGATAATGAGCTATTATAATTATGATCATTATTCTCACTCATTCTCTCCCGAAAAGCGCAAAAGTGAGTGAATACGCATGTCAAAAAAGTAGATAAGTGAGTGAATCAATTAACGAATATCAATCAATGAATGAACGAATTGACATTGAAATCTTGAATACAATACAAAATCGCGATTTTGCGTCATTGAACGAACGAGAGAAACTCCACAGAAACGAAGAAAAAACTGAATGTATGACGGCAGCAACGGAAGCAAGCACTATCGAAGCAACGAATGAGAGAAACTCAACAGAAACGTGGAAATACGAAAGAGAGAAACATTTCTTATATATGACATGAAAAAGTATGATATCTACTGCGTTTCATGTGTAACCGAATAGAAATGCAAAGGAATTGGATAAAAGGTAGTATTGCTTTAACAACACATTTTTGATGAAGCTTTCACTACACGATGGTAAACAAACTATTCGCTTCCATCTTTGAAAATGAGTATAACGTTAACAAATTTTTAAACAATGATGTCGTCGTCCATTATAAAAATATTGAACTTTCAAAAACTTATTCGCTGACTTTTATGGACTAAAATTCGCAAACAAATTAAAATTTCAGATGAAATCGAATGCACTACTAACGTTCACAAAATTCACGCGCCAGCAAAAAAATTTAATTCAAGAAAATCTGTGAAATGCTGTGAGTTTTTAAAATTTTTATTCTACACGAATTTGACTTTTTTTTACAATCAAATATATTTATAAAGTCACATATAAAAAGATTCTATCATTGTTTGATGTAATTTTTGGACTTGAACATGAATTAACGATCTCTTATTTTATTTCAAAATTAAATATTGTTCGAAGCTTGATGAAAAATATGGCGGACATCGAGGCTCGATCATGGTATAGGATTTCCTATATAAACCTTGTAACTAACAACACCTCTAATGTGTATTCCGAGTACTAATCGACGTTTGTAACAATATGGCCGTCACGGTTTGGCAAAATCATAATGAATCGATTAAACTGCCTTGAACTGTTAAAATAAAACAGTAAAAATAAATAGATTTTAATTTTTTACATTATTGAAAATAAAAAATATTTTGTTTTTTTAATTTTGTGAGTTTTTCTGTCCAAAATATTCAAAAATATCAAATTAATTAAAATGAATTGGTTGACATAACCTCACTTTTGTGTCACAATCGTGATAAACCGATCAAATAATTATTATAACGAAAGTGAGGTTATGTCAACCACTTCATTTTTTATTAATTTAATATTTTTGAATATTGTGCAGTAAATCTCACGTAACTACCGGAAACTACAAAACAAAACAAACAATTTTTATTTTTAAAAATGTAAAAAATTAAAATATTTTTATTTCTACTGTTTTATGCGTTTGTGACAACATAATTTTCAGATATGATCGTTGCAGCGCAATTGTGATGGTGAAATTTGACATTTCCATAAGGTGCACCTCCAAAAAACTGCGGAAGCCAACTGGATTGTTCGATGCATGGGTCGGGTCCGTGTTGGAAAGATGCCATATATGGCACGTGTTCAGAATGCGTTCCTCCATAAATGCGCAAATCTATATAAAAAAAAATAAAAGAGAAAAAACATATTTTTTAAATGCACAAATTCATGAATTTTACATGTAAAAAACTAAATCGACTTCAGAAAAATAACAAGAGCGTGTGCAACGCTTTCCAATCATTCGATTTCACGTTTCCTGTGTTTTGCGGCTCGCTGATAAGAAATTCGAAATTCGGAACCAAGTTTTAACTAATATCATCAAATCGTGTCACAATTTGGAGAAAATGTGAAAACAAAACATTGAGCGTTGAGGTACATAATCTTTTCAAAAATTTAAATCTCAGCCATAGATTTGAATTCGTTTTTACTTAACTTCACTTGAAACACTTCAAACCATAAACACTTGACTCACCTGCGTCTGCCCAATATTGTCCAAATAAAACGAAAAAAACCAAAAATTCGACGAACTTCATATTGTAAAATTTTCAGAGCAAATAAATTGTAGCTACACTTGAGATCTTATATATATGAACGCTCAGACGCGATGCGCTTTATGTTCGCTCTATTCAGCTTTATGCTGTACATTTGTTTCAGTACCTGTAAACATTTGGAAAAAAAATTAATTCAAACATTGTTACTTTTACAAACATATATTTATGTCACTTTTGACATTAGACTGGCTATTTTAACATACCGGTTCTAAGTCAGAATCTTTATCAATTGAAAACTTTGGAAGAGAAACGGCGACTGTCGATTCCCGATCCACACCATTGAATACATAATTTAAAATTGGTGCGGTTAATTTTCCAAGCAATTCATCGATAGCTGTTTGAGTATTGGCTGGCATTAAGACATACATTGAAAATCGTTTTTTTTTTTTTCAATTTTTTATAGCACCTGAATATGTAAAGTAAATTAAAAGGCTAAAATTACGTACAATAAAAAACTAAATCTATAACATGTACCATATTTGAATTTTCCAACTCGGTGCATCATTTCAACATCAACCGGTTCGATACCATTTCGATAAAAAAATGTCGATTGTCCTTTGTCAAATGTTGATATCTAGAGTATGGATTCAAATCGAATGAAATTGTACATTTTCAAATCCATAAAGAAACTACCAATACATACCCATTGTCCATGGAAATATGCTGCGTTTACAATAGCCAACTGTATTAATTTTATTTTGTCACTTGCAGGGCATCTTTGATATTGTTTTTGGCTATTTCTTCAATGAATTTGTTAATGTGTTTGATAGAATTTTCCGGGTCATCTTCGAAATTTAGCTGTTCAATATGATCATCTAATACTTTTTTTGCTGAATCTCTGCAAATAACAATTAAATTTTCAATCATGGAACGATGCATAGCATTGTGCACTAAAACCGGTCGAAATTTGTATTGGTGTCTTTTTATGACGAGAAAACCGAATCTGAAGTTATTCTTTAGACATACAAAAGTTAAGTAAAATTATCAAAACGTCTAAAAATATACACTTTTGTGTTGAAACGTGGTCTATATGACCTCAGAATGATGTGAAACATGATGGATATTACTTTTTTTTCATGTACTGATGCGACTGAAGAAAAAATGAAATACATTTTGAAAATTGAACTGAACATTCCAACAAATTTTCGTTCACTTTTCGTTTGTTTGCATTTTTTCTTCTTTGTTCATTCTGTTTCTTTCGTTCTTCGTATGTACCTGTAAAAATCCACCGAATATTCCTTGGCACCTTAATAGTTGTAGGCAGCAGGTAAAAACTTGTACAAGTAGTTACTCGCATAACAAAGGGTCCGACCTTTGCTCTCTAAATCCCAACATTCAACCAATTTTCAAAATGTATTTCATTTTTTCTTCAGTCGCATCACTACAGTGAGAGAGTTTCGATTGCACGTAATCGATTGCAATTTTTGACGTTATGAATTTCACTTGTCTGAAAATCATTTGATTCAGTGAAATCACATATGATATGATTCACAGTGGCACGTGCGATAAAATTACAGCATATTATGGTTGTAAGTTAACTATTATTGAGTAAATTAAAAAGATTTTTTGTCGATGATTTGAATGAAAACAACACTAAAATTGAGTGACATTACTCTCACAGATCCACTCATAGACATGTTAGAAAAATGTAAAATATAAAAAAAAATGTCATGACATGTTGTATTTTGGATGAGAGTTTTTCAACATGTTGGAAATTACGAACAAAAAAGTTCCAAATAAAAAATCTAGGAAAGCTACATTTAGACGTTTACAAGACGTGACGTATCATAAACGAGCATATAAATGAAGTTCACAAAGGGAAAAGATATGAAAGCGTATGTGGAAGAACCTTCACATACAATGGTTACTTCCTAACACATAGAAGGTTTTGTGAGTCGACTCCGACATTATTGAAATACGTATCAGTGATTGCTGGAATTAACAATTGCCTGAAGCATATATGTCCATGGGGAAGAGAAAAGCAAAAATAAGATATAATATGTTGGACAATGCGTTGAGCGAGGAAAAAAAACAAAACAGCGCCAAGCAGTCCACGAACGGCCCAAATCTTCGAAGGTATGGTCAAAATAAATGTGGAAGGAATAGGTCAATTATCCATTCCATTAGAGAAACTAAAACCAATAAATCAAGTGTATGTACGGGTGGGGACATACATGAGGCAGTGATGACGAAAAATCAGACTACAAAAACGTCGGAAATCACAGATGATATTGTAGAAGAAGCAGTTGATAGCCGAAGCATGTGTCAGTACAGACATACACACACAGTACATACGATT